CTCAGACTCCTACATCCAGTTAGTCATTTGCTGAATGTTTAAAATGGAAGATTCTAGGACAAAAGCTCAGTATGTTCAAAACTGAGCTGGTTATCTTTTCCTAAAATCAGGTCCTTTTCAAAAGTCCCTGTCACCATTAACACCATAGATACGCAAACGAAAATTTTCATGATAATCTCACATTTCAACAACCATCTTCAAGACTTACTCATTACAACTCTAGACACTTTTCAAGTTTCCTCAACTCCATCCTTATTAATAGTATCCAAATTCAGATTATCTCTCAATAAGAACCAATTCAGTAATAACTCATCTGCCCCTCTCTACCCTTATTCTACCTCAAATTTATGTACATACTGCTACCAGAATGACTGGTCTAAAATGAAAATCTTACCACATCAAGCACTATCATACATCAAATCCTCATATGTCAAACTCTTCAATATCAACCTATCAATCACATCCAAGTTCACTCACAGAATAAATGTCCTATGACATAAAGTCCTCAAAGACCTGGCTCATGTTTAGCTCTTCAGCTATCACTGCCTATCCATTTTACACATCACAGACACCCGAAACTATCTGTCAATCACACGTATTCTCACACTGTTCTCTTTGCCGACAGATCCTCACCTGCCTTCTGTGCCACATGGGAAGCTTTTACTTACTCTTTAAGATTCAGATCCAGAATCGCCTCTGGAAACCCTGACCAAAGCATACTTCTCTACCCCACCAAGTGCACACATCAGCAAACTAAGCACTCAGAACATTTTTAATTGAATAAAATACAACTAAACAAACTAATGACAAAGCAGCATATAATTTATTCACACAAAGCTAGAAGGAAAAACTAGATTGGATTTCAGTATACTTCTTTCGAGAAAAAGTCTTGACCTGAGAGATCCAAGGAGTAATTGTTCACAGATTATTGAAGAGAAGAAATAAAAGTATTTGAGTAAGTAAAACAGAGATGAAAATGAACACATTGAGAGGAAGCTAAGGAGACTATATGGCAAGCCTTGGAGGGACAGTAAACAGTAAATATAAGCTCACAAATGAAGTTATCCCTATGAAGAGGTTTAGATACCACAACCAATGATTCATCAAAGATTTTCAGTTTTTTCTGAAACTAGATGACACAGTTGCATTTAGTTACTATCCCACAGTTCCTTTAGAGATCAATTAGGTCAGAGAAATATTTTCATCTTCTAATCAATTCCCAAAATACTTAGGTTTAAGAAGGTATCCCAACTTAATTAGCATTTACTAAAGAACTTTACATAAAATTCTCAAACTATCTCTACATTGCATAATAGTTTATTAAAATTGGAATCAGGTAATAAACTCTCTTTTAGTTAGGTCAAGGGCTAATCAATCTTGCAAAATAATCTATACTATTAGAACACATGATTGTATCAAATCAGCAGGGAAAATGAAAATATTGTAGCATGATGTTCAATTCACAGAAGACTTAAGATATAAATGGTTTGCTTTCTGAATGCAGTATAATAAATGAGCATCAATCCTTTTTTTTTTTTTTTTTGAGACAGAGCCTCAAGCTATCCCCCTGGGTAGAGTGCCATGGCATCACAGCTCACAGCAACCTCCAACTCCTAGGCTCAAGTGAGTCTCCTGCCTCCGCCTCCCAAGTAGCTGGGACCACAGGCGCCCGCCACAACGCCTGGCCATTTTTTGGTTGCAGCCATCATTGTTGTTTGGCAGGCCCAGGCTGGAATCGAACCTGCCACCTTAGGTGTATGTGGCTGGCACCTCAGCCGCTTGAGCCACAGGCACCGAGCCGAGCATCAATCCTTAAATACATTAATCAATAGTGCAAAAGAACAGATCTATGAGGTTATTTTATATGAAGAGTGAAGATTAAGGTCATCTAACAAAAATAAGGTGGAAAAAGTGCTGGTTGTAACTACTCTTACCACACAAAATCTACTGGCTGCAGTAAAGACAGAAGGTATTCACTCTACTATCTTAGAAGACCAAATGGGCCAGAAGAGAATAATGTCAGAAGCACAAACAGCAGAAATAAATCAGCTACCCCAAACTAGAGCATCTCTAAATGTAAGTACATACCATTTTTAAACATTTAACTGAATAGTCATATAACACCCAAGGCACATTTTCTATACCAAGAAGAACGTGATTAGAAAACAGATATATGCTAACAAGCACAGAATCACTTTGGAATGTAAAAGGCATTCCACTGGGTTGTGTGTCTTTTTGTCCTTCACTCTGTAAATGCCAATTCCCTGCTTTTGAGTTTGGAGACAGTAAATAAACAGTGAGCTACAAAGATGAATGTTAATTTTTAACATAACACTGATGGTATGTCCGAAGATACAGTTAATTCTCATTCTTGTATTTTATCTGTCATTTTAAAGTACCCCTACTGATATAAACCAACATTCATGAATGAAAAGTTAAAAAATGCTTTTGACCTACTATATTCAAGCAAACTGACAGATCTGAATGCATGTACATTAGTCTTCAATTATGAAACCCCAAACACATAAACACCATTATAAAATAAATTTCTCTATGAGAAAAAGGACTGATAATGCTGCAAGCTTGCTAGAGAAAATAACATCAAGCATAAAAGAAACGGTGGCCTACCAATATGACACTGATGATCATGTTATGCTCAAGTATGCTGCAGATGACCATTTGTATCCTGCTGGTCAATATCATTGATATTTCAATATCCTATTTTATGAAAAAACCTTCTGACTTAGGGAACATAGAATCATCCATCTGGTCTAAAACAGCAAACTATTTTCATCTTGTATACATTTATTTTTATTAAAAGAGTTATATATTACTTGTGATCTAACCTCAAGTATAAATTAAAACTAATATCTACACAGCACAAATGTAAGGATTATTTATAGAAAAGTAGCAGAATACACGCACATACACAAACATACATTCAGTTCTTGTTATTTGAGGTAGTTATGTTCAACTAAAATGCTATAAACACTGAATTAGTGAATAGTGAGCCATTACTTCTAAGGGAAATGGAAAAGAGTGTTAGGTTTCTAGGAGCCTCCAGTCACAACATTTTCATTAGCTGATCAACATGCAACCTTGTTTTAAGCCTATTACTGTTTAAAAATACCATGTTTACTATATATCACTAATTCTTTAACACTAACTCACAACCAACAGCATAATTCATGACTTAGAGAAACTTATTTAACACATGTATTTCCCCCATAGGTATATCACAGCCTTCTTGCTTTTAGGAATATTACATAGCCTTTAGCACAACGGGACCTCTTAAAATACCAAACTCCCAATAAAAAGCACAAAAAATGTGGAAAATGTGGCATCATATAGACTGCAAGAAGGATACTTGTTAACAGCATAAGACTACAAAACAAGGCAAAGTATCACCTTATCTGACCTTAGTTGAGAATGTGCATGTTCGATGACTCAAACTTTTCACCACTCTGTGCATGTCTACAATTGACAATGAAAGTACCACAAATATTGATTTGGGGACTACACATAAATTTTGTCAAGTAGGCTAATTTGCAAATATGCAAGCCAGAAATAATAAGGATCAACTGT